TCTTCTCTTTTGTAGCGAAGGAGGCACTCCATCGCTACAGTGAATGAGTCATCTTCCTCGTTGTCAAGAACCCATCTAGGGTTTTTCAGAAAACTTGTCAAAGCAAGACATTATGATCACCGCCTACCACGACAGGAAAGCCCACGCGACGACGACGGCAATGACGATGTTCCCGTAGAAGCAAGAACACCGCTAGCGTTTCCGGCCAACGGCGTCTCCGAAGTAGCCCCAACGATCTTTTTGGAGCCAAAGCTCATTCTCCTCGGTGCCATTGATGCAGCTGATCGGAGAAGATTATTGTCGACGGAGATGCGGGTGAAGATAAACGAGCGTTATCGTTATTGGAACTAAGCCAAAAATAGAAAGAGTAGAATGACTCTTGATGTGACCACACATGTCTATTTATAACAGCCGTCAAGCTGTTAAATCGGTGCGGGATTCTAGGAGAGAATCTCAACCATCTCTGAAATGCGATCTTCCGCGTTAGTAGATAAAGTCAATTGGACTTTAACACAGAGTTCACTTTTGCGTTCAATTCCCAAACGCTAGGCCTAGAGCTGCGTTATGAGAGTTTTTAACTCTGCGTTTCGAACCTCAAACGCAAAGGTCACCTTTGCGTTGTAATTATTCTAAACGAAGGGTACACCTCTTGCGTTTTCAAACATGACACTTATGCCCTAAGTTCATGAATTCTTTTAACAGAGTGTTAATCAAAACCTCTATATCTATTCAGCAAGATCTAAGTTATTTCAACTGGCGAAATCCTCATCAGATTAGCAATACACATCTGATGATCATCATCCCCATAGAGTTTGAATCTAGCTTGCATCGCTTCTAATGTGATGATAATACTTCAGCAGAACCTAAATTGTTTCAGTTGACCAAACTTTCGTCAAAGTTAGTCTTACACTTCTGACAACCATCATCCCCACAGAGTTTGAATTTAGCTTGCATAGCCTCCAAAGGGACGACAATTCCTCTGTCAAAATCAACTTATTGATTCTCATCAATAGAACGATAAGTCCCTAAAATCACTCAGAACATGGTTAATTTACTGATTCTCCTCGACAGAGTAGTAAATAACCAACTTATCAACTCCCTTCGGTGGAGTAGTAAAATTCTCTCGATCTTATTCAAATCACAAGTATCACAAGTCATCGCTTCGATGATAAACCATTTGGCGATTTTCCCCAGCAAGACGTTAAGTCCCCTAGATTGTGTTCAAATCACATCAATATTTCTTCCTGTCACGTTAATATCATACCTCTCAACTCTCCTCAATAGAGCGATTATTTCTCAAAATTACACCGATCGTAATATTTCTCCCTGTCATGTTAGTATCACACCTCTGACAAAATCAACTTTTCGACTCTCCTCAATAGAGTGATAAGTCCTCAAAATTATCACGATCGTAATATTTTTCCTGTTACGTTAATATTATACCTCTTAACAGTTTAAACCCTCCTATGGGAACATTTTTTTCCCTCTTTATAAGAATAACAAGTGTTCTCATAAAATCCTCAGCGAGTCAAATTCTTTTCAAAATTGCCTCGTTGGGTGTGCACGAAGGGCGTAATTGGCATAGACCCCTCCAGAGAGAGTAGTGGATGACCCCTCAGACACATCACCTACTGCTCTCTTCTTCCTCCTCGGTGCTGCCAAGAGTGCCCGATCCTTATCAGTGAAGATCATCTCAGCTTCTTCTTCCCTTTCTGTCACTATCAAGTTTGCCTGGTGGCCTCCTCTTCCGTTGGGTGTGCACGAAGGGCGTAATTGGCATAGACCCCTCCAGAGAGAGTAGTGGATGACCCCTCAGACACATCACCTACTGCTCTCTTCTTCCTCCTCGGTGCTGCCAAGAATGCCCGATCCTTATCAGTGAAGATCATCTCAGCTTCTTCTTCCCTTTCTGTCACTATCAAGTTTGCCTGGTGGCCTCCTCTTCCACCTCGCCTGCCTCCACAGCAACGACCACGGCCTCCAGCCTGACCATGTTCACCCCAGTTCCTCTCCCTGGGTGGCTTAGGGCATATCTGTCTCAGATGCCCTACCTCTCCACAGTTGAAGCACTACCTAGTCTCCCCTCTGAATCCAGTGTTATCCGGTTTGGATACCACCAGTGCAGACTTCTCTTGTGTAAGTCCACTTGTCCCAGCCTGTAGCCTGATACGGCTCTCCTCCTGTATCATGGCCGAGACTGTCTCCTCCAATGGTGGGATCTTCGTCTGGGTTAGTAGCAACGTCGTCCCCTGCTCATACGCTGGAGCCAAACCATGGAGAAACGACATGGTCCTTTTCTGCAAAGAGGCCTCACGCTGCTTGCATTCTGGGTCCTTGCAGCTCGCTAGGGGTGAGAAGGGAGGGGGGGGGAGCCACAAGCGCTCTAGCTCTGTGGTGTACTCCTGTATAGTCCTCTCTCCCTAGACTGTAGCGCTGATCTCCTTCTCGATCTGGAATACCCTCAGGTTATTCCCCACCCCATCGTAGGTCCTCCTCAACTTCTCTCACACATCCTGCACCCTCCCAAGGCCATCCACTGTGGCAGCAATTGGATGGACTACAGAATTCAGAAGCCAGATGTACACCAACATATGAGTGGACTTCCACTCATCTCTTCCTACGGAGCCCTCAGCCGGCTTAGTCTTCTACCCTGTCAGATATCCCTCTAGGCTCCTCCCGGCAATGGTATATTTCACCCGACGCGACCAACTCAGATATGTCGCGGGTCCATCAAGTTTTACATCGATAGGTGGAAGCTCCACCTTCTTGGGTGGTGGCTTTGTCGAGCCCTCTCCCTTCGACAACCTCATCAGTTGCATCAGTGTTGAGATCTCATCAGGATTCAACTTCTTGATGATCTCCTCCATCGGATTTCTGCCAGTCTCCGTCGTCGATCCAACTTGTATCCTTGTTGTGTGTAGCGAAAATTTCGACAGCACTTCGACAGCACAACAAGAGAGTTAGATTAACAAGAATTCTTGTTTCACCAAGAAAACAAGAACCAAAAAGTAAAATATCTCAACAAAGTAAAATATCAGCTCTTCCTCTCATCAGTTCTAGGACTGACCTGTCGAGGGAACCTAAACAAGCTATTACAGATCTAGAATAAAAAACAACAAAAAAACAGCAGAACGAAACTACTTTATCATCTAATACATGTCCTAATTTTTTATTATTTTCTTGGATCTGATTGGCAACAATCCCCAAAAAAATTTTCCTTCTTCTCTTGGATCTGATCGGCAACACTCCCTGCAGATCAAAAAACCAAACTCCAAAACGAGATTCCTCCAGCTCCCGCCATCGGACCCTCCCCTGTAGCCGCGATCACATCACCGACGCCCTGCACCTCCATTGACTTCGGCCTCCTCTGCATCCGGCTGTCTCCTCCTACCCTACAGTCATCGTGGTCGCAGCCTCCTGCCCTACAGTCGTCGTGGTAACACCATACCCGCCGCCGGTCACGTCACCGACTCCCTGCTCCTCCGTCGACGCTTCCCTACAAGAGAACTCCACCGAGCAGGCCTCCTGATCGTTGATGATCTTGGAGTCAATGACCTCGCCGCCTGGAGATCTAGAGGCTTCGGAGGCCCTCTGGTGAAGACGAAGCCCGAGGATGAAGACCAAAGCCCTCGGATTTGTTCGGGTTGGATTTCGTCGGGTTGAAGAGGGAGGCGGCTAGGTTAGGGCTCTGATACCATATTGAAAATTAGGGTTTTTTTAATTCACTTTCTCACTGATAGAATAGATTGGCTTATATAGCCTTACACCCACATTTACACAAAACCCCCTCTAATATTCTCTAATTACATTATCTTTTCAACAAGTGGTTACCAAGATAACAATGAAAACCTTACCTTACGTGGCGTGATCTCGCCCACTGAAAGTGATGTGGGCAGTAAGGATTGAGGGGATTGGACCCTCTCCCGTTACCATATAATTCAAGAGGATTCAGATGTATTAGACATCTCATGCCTTTAGCATGATTGTAGACATTATTTACATAAAATTTCAGAACAAGTTATGCAAAACAATTAAATATATTTTCTAGATTAGTTTAGTGCATCTGGTCATAAGATTAAATTGCTTCTAAACTAAATGACAACAGGTTATGATATTCAGCTACCACCTTGTTTTCAATAGAGTTTCTGCGAGTACTTACTTTTTGTTTGTTTGTTTTTCGACAAATCAATTTGCGTTTCCCGGAGGTCAGAAAATAATACCATGGAGTGCGAGGAGATGAAGAACAAAGGGAATGCGTCTCATAAACGACCAATTGTTGTCAATGAAAGTGTAGGAAGTGATGATGAGTTGTCGTCCGAGAAGAAATTGAAGACCAATTCTCGAGAACTTGTCAAGAATCTACTCTCAAGAGTGATGAACGATTCCTCTCATCAAAAGTCAGTATTTTTTATTAACCTCACCCGAAGTATTCATGATATGGGCATTGAGCCCATCAACGTACTTGACTACACTCTCTCATGGATGCTAACAGAGCGCAAATCACTCAAAGATGAAGAGGCCGGCTTCCTACTGAAAGTGATGAGCAAGGTATTGCCCAGTTGCGATGAGGACAAAGTTCGACCTTTGGTTTCTCGAATTATATTAGTTGCCCAACCTTTTGTTGAAGATGCCTCCTCTCATTGTTGCATCAAGGCGAGCGAGATCATCTACACTCTCAGCAAAATCACGGGTTTGGATGAAATTGCTGTGCTGATTCGTCTTCAAATGAATGACAGTAGTGATTACGTAAGGGATGTGGCGGTCAAAGTTATGGGGATCGTAGCATCTGCACTCGGAATTCATGTTGTTTTTCCATTCATCGAAAGTTGTTGTCGAGGAATTGAGCCATTGCGAGTCCGTTGTGCTGCTATAAGAATGGTGGAGCAGTTTGCTGTGAGGATCGGATGCACGTTGCTGCCACATCTTTCGTCTCTAATTGAACTTATGGAGTTCGGTCTCCTTCACAAGGATTTAGAAATTGTGCGAATCATGATCACAGCTTTATCTCTCGCTGCTCTTGCTAAAGCGGTGGCACCCTATGGATATGAGCACTTTAAACCGATATTGCATCGACTCTTCGATTTCTTCAGCAGAGATGGAGTTGGTTTTATTCATCGAAGAGGGAAAGTGTTGGGAGCGCTGGTGAAGCTATTCACTTGCATTATTCAACTTCTAACGTATCCATATCCCAGCGACATCAATTGGAACGTAGCGAACGGGGTATTGCTCGTGTCGAGACTTTCGGTAGACGACGAGGAGATGAAGGAGATTGGATTCGAAGCCATCAAAAGCCTAGTTGAGATCAAGGACGTTCCGTTATAGTGTTTTCTAATTATGGGCGAGCCTAGTTGTTTCGTGCTAATTATGTAGACGAGAATGATGATGAGAAGGGACAAGTACGTGTTGTTGGCCGATGCAACCGTTGCTTTGGCCAATAAGTTGGGAGTTGCGTATCTCAAGAGATCAATATCTAAAGAACTTGATGACTATAGTGAAGATTACAGGCAGATGGTGTTGGAAATAATTGAAAAGTTGTTGGCATGTCCTGATAATTCATCGGATCGCAATGCTCAGTTGGAAGACGCCTTTCAGGATATCGCCTACTTGTTTTGTTCTTCATTTTAGATTATATTGACGCAACCAACAAATTTTTGCTTTTGAGATATCCTTTTTTTTCTTTTTTTTTGGGATACGTGGATCTCCAGTATGTTTTTTTAGTGTCGAAACTGTTTCTATTGAAAAGCAACAATAAATGATATTAAAAAATATATTGTACGAGTATTTGTTGAACGTGCATTTAGGCCGGTGGCCTAATTTTTTGAGGACCGCCAACCACGGCCTTGCAGAATTACGGCCCACCGTTTAAGATCAAATATGACTGTTAGCGCATTTGCAATTGCACTGGTCAAGGTTGAATGCTCATATGGACTGTAGCGAAGGATTGAATCTTGATTTTATCGAAGGTAATTATTAACATAATTGTTTTAGTTTTTAAAAAACCTTATAAAAATGATC